TTAAGAGATAGACTAAGCTGGGCTCAGTGGCTCAGCCTGTAATCCCTCGCTTGGGAAGCTGAGGTGAGTGGATTGCCTGAGCCCGCGGGTTCGAGACCCGCCTGGGCAACTTGGTGAGACCTCATCTCTACAATAAATCAAAAAATTAGCCGGGTGTGGTAGCGCGCACCTGTAGTTCCAGCTACTTGGAAGGCTGAGGTGGAAGGATCGCTGGAGCCCAGCAGGTCGAGCCTGCGGTGGCCAAGAGCAGCCACTGCACTCCAGTCTGGGCAACAGAGTGGGACTCCAACTCAAAAAAAAGAGATAGATTGATCAAACATATAACTACATAACTAATTGTGATAAAACCACAAAGGAAAGATTTAGGGTACTATATGAGTGTATAACCTCAGGATCCAAGCAAGTCTAAGCAGTCAGGAAAGTTTTCTTGAGAAAGTTACATGGCTAAGACTTAAAAAACAAGTTGGATTTAGTCAGAGAAAAAATATTCCAGGCAAGGAGAGGAGTGCATTTAAAGGCCCTGAAATGAGAACACACTGGGAGTTCTAGAGAACCCACAGGAAGTTGGGAGTGAGAGAAGTAATGGGGCTTGCATCAAGGGAGAGTATACAGAGAAGTAGTATGGGGTTGAGAGTTGGGGAGTTGCTAGGGTATGGGACCTGCATTTCAGGTGGTGACCACAGGGGTTGGAAAACTGGGTGGAGTCCTGGAGGAAGTTAGGGAATTGGGTTTAATTTAATTGTGGCCTAGAATTACTATTCAGCAGTTGTGGTGTGAATCCAGGTAATTATTCTTTTCTTTTGTTTTCTTCCTCCTTTCCTTTCCTTTTTTTTTTAAAGAGTCCAAATTTATTACATCTTGGATGAATCTTTTTTTTTTTTTTTTGAGTTGAAATCTCACTCTGTCGCCCAGACTGGAGTGCAGTGGCCGCTCCCGGCCACCTCAGCCTCGACCTACTGGGCTCCGGTGATCCTTCCGCTTCAGTCTTCCAAGTAACTGGAACTACAGGCGTGCGCTACCATGCCCGGCTGATTTTTTGATTTATTGTAGAGATGAGGTCTTGCTGCCCAGGCGGGTCTCGAACCCATGGGCTCAAGCATTCCACTCACCTCAGCCTCCCAAAGGTGCGGGATTACAGGCTGAGCCACCGAGCCCGGCTTTTTTTTTTTTTTTTTAATTTTAGAAAAATGAGTAGTCCCAGCTATTCAAGAGGCTGAGGCAGAAGGATCACTTGAGATCAGTAATTCGAGGCTGTAGTGTGCATGATTATGCCTGTGAAAAGCCATTACACTCCAGCCTGGGCAACATAGTAAGACACTCTCTCTAACGAAGGAAAAAGAAAAAGAAAAAAAAATTGAGATATAAGTTAGATAATATTCACTTTTTTAAAGATAATTCAGTGGTTTTTAGTATATTATTCACTAAGTTGTGCAGCCATTACCCCTATCTGATTCCAGAACATTTATTTATTTATTTGTTTGTTTGTGTCAGAGTCTTACTCTGTCATCCAGGCTGGAGTACAGTGGCAGTCTCACGGCTACTGCAGTCTCAACCTGCTGGGCTCAGGTGATCCTTCCATCTCAGTCTTCCAAGTAGTTGGAACTACAGATATGTGCCACCATACCCGGCTAATTTTTTTGATTTATTGTAGAGATGTGGTCTTGCCAAGTTGCCCAGGCTGGTCTCAAACCCCTGGGCTCAAAAAATCCTCTTATCTTTGCCTCCCAAAGTGCTTGGATTACAGGTTTGAGCTGCTGTGCCTGGCTAATTCCAGAACATTTTCATCACCCCAGAAAGAAACTCCTCACCACAAGCAGTCACACCCTATTCCCTAATCTCCTCAACCCTTGGCAACAACTAATCTACTTTCTGTCTTATGATTTTTTCTATTCTAGTCATTTAATATAAATGGAATTATATAGTATATGAGGCCAGGTATTTTGTAAGTGACTTGCCAAGGATTGCACAGCTATAAAATGGAAGTGCTGATATTCAAATCCGGGTGATTAAAAAACTTGTGGTGTTAATTGCTATATGGACCCAATCAAAGGTGGACTTTGATAGTCAGCATAAACATGTTCTGAAGATATGGCCAAAGGAAAAACAGGAAATGAGCAATTTTTGAAAGAACATAGGAAAATAAAAACTAGAGTCAATGATTATTGTCTTCAAATACTCGAGGAGTTTGAGTTTTTGTATAGAAAACATTAATTGAACTCACTCTGTGTCATCCCAGAGTAGGGAACTAGGCTCAAACCATGGAAGTTATAGGAAGGTCAGTTTGGGTTTCCTGTGTGGGAGAACGTTCAGATAATTAAAAGTGTCTGAAAATATTTTAGTTCTTGATCAGGGAGGTATTAATATTTTAGTAACAGATGGGTCGTTATGGACAGAGGGGCTAGCGTTGGCCCTGTGTTTGAGAAAGGTAGAGGTGGGCACTGACTAGAGTGGGAGGTCAGTGAGGAGAATTAAAAGCTTCTGATGAATGAACTCAGGCAGAGACTGGGCTTTTCAAGGATGCCTGAGATGAGAGTAACCTCTGTTTGCAATTATTGGAATGGATATCAAGGTATTGTTCATTTCAGGGAAGAAAATAAGAGCTTTCATCTAATAGTGAAACTCGCTTTGCAAGAAGAGTATATAGTAGTGGAAAGAGCCCCGATTGTGGGTTTAGCTAGAACATGACTTATTAGCTATGTGCATTAGGCTGTTAATTCACCTTTCTGAGCTTTGGCTTCCTCACTAGAAAATGAGGGTAGAAATATCTGTTTCACAGAATGGTTGCAGGGACTAAAGATGATGATGTTTAGCATATGGCAGGTGCTCCACAAATGGTAGAGGGTTGAGGCTATTATTAGCGTATGAAAATTCACTAGCATAAATTGATATCACTTTTTTTAGAAGTAGTGTGGCAGAATGGAAAATATGGGCTTTGGATTCAGGCAGACCTAGGTTTGAATTCCTCTTACCAAACTTATAACTCTGGGCAATTTATATAAATATCTATTTTTTTCTTGTGTAAATAGAGGCATTATCTCAATGATGACACTATCAGGGTTGATGTAAAGATGAATTGAAATGGTATACATAAGCTGGGCTCGGTGGCTCAGCCTGTAATCCCGTGCCTTTGGGAGGCTGAGGTGAGTGGATTGCCTGAGCCCGTGGGTTTGAGACCCACCTTGGCAACGAGACCTCATCTCTACAATAAATCAAAAAATCAGCCGGGCGTGGTAGCGCATGCCTGTAATTCCGGCTACTTGGAAGGGTGAGGCGGAAGGATCACCGGAGCCCAGCAGGTCGAGGCTGCGGTGGCTGGAAGCGGCCCCTGCACTCTAGTCTGGGCAACAGAGTGAGACTCCAACTCAAAAAAAAAAAGAAAAAAAAAAGAAATAGTATACATAAAGTACTGAGCACAATGGATGTACTCAATAAATAGTAGTAACAATGCTATTTTAAATAATATTTATGAATACACAAATGTAGTCTTTTACTATTAATAAAACATCTCACAGTTGCTTGTGTCAGAGGCCGCTGACCCACTGCTGTCACCACTCACCCTGGGCTTTGGTGTCTGAAGCTACTTATACACTATAGATTTTGCCCTGTGATTTCAGTTCTTTGGTAGCTAGCTGTGCAGTTCTTTCTTGGTTCCTGGCTCTGTAGCTCATGGGACAAGTATTTTTGTAACCCACTGTGGCAGCTGTGCCCTCATTCATTCATTCATTCACTGGCGTCACCACCCGCCTTTTCCACTTGAGAGCCAAAGCTGCTCTTCATTTGCTCATGGGGGGAGGAGGGTAATTGTGGATACAGTCCTAAAATAGACTACTTTTGTCCTGATAAATAATGCCGAGCATTGCATGAGAGAGGAAACAAATTTCCCAGAGCTGACAGGGAGAGTTTACACCACAATTTGAATGTCTTCCAGAAAGTTGTCAACCCTTAAGTCTGGCTTTTAGATAATTAAATCTTTAGCTATTGCAGACTCAGAAATCTGAACAATTAAAATGAGGAGTAAGCAATTTCATCTAGATCTTTCTTGCCATCCAGTACCTTTTCTATATGAAGTGACCCATTTAAAAATATATTCTGTTCTCTCTGATTTCTGTCCTGTTTGTCATGGTTAATAGATCTTTGGCTTGGGGGAAACCTTAGAATCATCTGCTCTAACTTCAAGGTACATGGCCAGTGGAGGGGGGAACCAGCCTGAGCTCTCCCAGGACTCCCAGCTCCCTACTCGATTTTGTCTTTTATGCTGACCAATATCAGGTTAACCAGATTGTACACATACTTTACAAAGTCTTTTGGTATCTGACTTAATTATGCTTTTTAGGATCATCTACATGCTTTTGCCCTTCCTTCTGTCTATTCGTGTCCTTCCCTATCTTTATGGCCTCATATTCTCTGGGAGACTTTTTCTGAGTTTGATCTTTTTTCCTCTAATTTCCTAAGCATCAGCCCCTCAGTTGCCTCACTTTTAAAATTGTTTTTTAGTGTTTTGAGTACTAAAGATTTAAGAAAGCACCTCTCATGGTACTGTGCATGGCAGATACATAATAGTTGTAAATTGATATTAAATAAAAATGGATCAAGGGTAAAATGGCAGTATGAGAAGGGGACTTATGTTTTTTGGGCATTTACTGTAGTGGGTAGAATGAGAAAGATGACCTTGGTTTACTTGCATATTTTGTGTTAATTGTAGGATTGCTTCCTTGCTAGATAAGAACCATTTTGTTCCTTCTGGTTTGTGTACTGGATTCAGGCAGACCTAGGTTTGAATTCCTCGTATCAAACTTATAACTCTAGACAATTTATATAAATATCTATTTTTTTCTTGTGTAAATAGAGGCATTATCTCAATGATGCCACTATCAGGGTTGATGCAAAGATGAATTGAAATAGTGTACATAAAGTATACTATTTCTTACCTTTGTGAGCAGAGGTACTTGGGGAGATCTGTAAATGCTTAAAATTGTCCTAACATGACTATTTTGCTATAGGTGCTGTGTCTGAGGAACAATACCATTTTCAAACAAGCCTTTTCCCTCTTAAGGTAAGGATATTAATAGCAGTAATTAAATACAGCTAACATTTGCATTCTGCTCCATAGTTCACATAGCATAATTCTTTCATCATATCCACTTGCATGTCTACTAAGCATCATTTTAACTCCCTTGCCATCCTGTTCCTTTCTCATTCTCTGTAAATGGTAACTCCATTCATCCAGTTGCTCAGGCCACAATTCTTGGGGTTCTCCTTTTTTTTTTTTTTTGAGTCAGGCTGTCCACTCTGTTGCCCAGGCTAGAATGCAGTGGCGTGATTACCCCTCACTGCAGCCTCAAACTCCTGGGCTCAAGCAATTCTTCTGCATCAGCCTCCTGAGTAGCTGGGGACTATAGGCATACACGACCACACTCAGCTAATTTTTTAATTTTTTTGTAATGATGAGGTATTGTTATGTTGCCCAGGCTGTTCTTGAACTGGGATTACAGGCATGAGCCACCATGCCTGGCCAGAACCATTTCTTGCCTCCAGTTTTTTCCTTATGCTTTTTATTTTGGTAAATCTCTAGGAACCAGCTTCTCTTCTCATCGTCTTTGCTACCATTACCGTGTCTCCTGGTCTCCCTGCATTTACTTTTGTCTTCTATTCTTCACACTAAAACCAGAGTGATTCTTTTAAAACCAAGTTAGCTTGTATCACTCTTTTGCTTAAAATTCCCCAATGAGTAAAATTTCATCTTACTCAAATTTATAATCCTTCTCATGGCCTACAAGGCCTTTCATAATCTGCTCCTTCATTTTATACTACTTACTCAGCTTTAGCTGTACTGGTGCTTTCTTGTTTTATCTAAGCATCTTCTAACCCCAGGATCTTTGCATATTCTTCCTTCAAATATCCATATAGCTTGCCCCCTGCTTTATTCAGGTTCTACCCAACTATCATCCAATCAGAGAGGCCTTTCCTGACTACCTTGTGTAAAATAGTTCCCACCTCCATCAATTTTGCTTTATTTTTCTTCACATTGCTTTATTTTTCTTCACAGCAGGAAGATGTCACCACCTGACACATTTTATATGTACATGATTTTTTTTTTAACAGTCTCCCCACATTCCCCCAACCTTTCCACTGAATATAAGTATTCTGTGGATAAGGACTTTGTTAGTTTTGTTTACTGTCCTATCCCTCGGGTCTTGAATGGTGTCTGGCACACAGTAGCATTTAATAAATACTTGTTAGCCAGGCTCGATAGCTCAGCCTGTAATCCCAGCGCTTTGGGAGGCTGAGGTGAGTGGATTCCCCGAGCCCGCGGGTTTGAGACCCGCCTGGGCAGGGAGACCTCATCTCTACAATAAGTCAAAAAATCAGCCGGGCGTGGCAGCACATGCCTGTAATTCCGGCTACTCGGAAGGCTTTGGCGGAAGGATCGCTGGAGCCCAGCATGCCAGTCTGGGCAACAGAGTGGGACTCCAACTCAAAAAAATAAAATAAAATAAATAAATAAATACTTGTTTAATGAATGAATTGACCCTCATAGTGACCTGATGAAGCAGATGGTATTATCTTAATTTTATACTTGACTGGGCTTAAGAGAGGTTAATCTATTGTTCTAAAATGACCTAGCTAATTTGGGTTGGAATTAGGATTTAAACCCAAGTTTGTTTGTTTTTTACACTTCTGTGTATAGAGTGCAGCCTCCAGATTATTCTCAAGGTGCTTATGAAATGCATTTGGGCGGGTTGGAGACCCACCTGGGCACGGGAGACCTCATCTCTACAATAAATAAAAAAAAAAATTAGCCGGGCGTGGTAGCGCACACCTGTAGTTCCGGCTGCTTGGAAGGCTGAGGCGGAAGGATCGCCGAAGCCCAGTAGGTCGAGGCTGCGGTGGCCGGGAGCAGCCACTGCACTCCAGTCTGGGCGACAGAGTGAGACTCCAACTCAAAAAAAAAAAACAAAAAACATTTGGTAGTTTATTTATCTCTTTAGCAAATATACATTAAGTGTCATGTATAGTAGCCACAGGACACACAACAAAAATGAATTGTATGTCTTCATGGACTGCTTGGCACTCATGAGCTTGGATAATTTCTTGAGTCCTTTACATTTATTGAAGCCTTTCTCTTTTTATTCCCTTAATCTATTTTTCTGTCATTAATCAGTCAACTACTGTTTGATAAGCACATGCTATGGCACCATGCTAGGCATTATACATGTTATCTCTAATCTATACAGAATTACTACAGGACAAATATAAAAGCCACTTTACAAAAGAGGAAACTGACTCAGAGTGTTTAAGAGGTTTTCAGTCCCGTGAGATTGTGATGTTATCTGTATTTTATTTTATTTTATTTTTTGAGTTGGAGTCTCACTCTGTCGCCCAGACTGGAGCGCAGTGGCCGCTCCTGGCCACTGCAGCCTTGACCTGCTGGGCTCCAGCGATCCTTCCGCCTCAGCCTTCCAAGTAGCCGGAATTACAGGCATGCGCTACCACGCCCGGCTGATTTTTTGACTTATTGTAGAGATGAGGTCTCCCTGCCCAGGCGGGTCTCAAACCCGTGGGCTCAGGCAATCCACTCACCTCAGCCTCCCAAAGGCGCGGGATTACAGGCTGAGCCACCGAGCCCGGCTCTATTATCTGTATTTTAAAGATAAGAAAACTGAATTATAGTGATATCAAACAACTTACCTAAGGTCAGTTTAGAAAAGGTAGAGACAGCATTTAATCATAGATCTGCTTGTCTTCAGTTTATTCCACAGTTTAGTTTCAAAACTTCTCAGAACGAAATACGCTAGTCAGCCAAACAGATCCATACTATTCTCTGTGTTCTCTGACTTTTCTATTGTCTGCCTTTCATTGCCTTTCTTTCCTATCCATCTTCCCAGAGTCTGTTCTAATAAGGCAAGGGTTATATCCCTTTTCTTTCTTTCTTTTTTTTTTTTAAGTCTCACTCTATTGCCCAGACTGGAGTGTACGCTCATGGCTACTGCAGCCTCAACTTTCTGGACTCAGGTGATCCTTCTACCTTAGCCTTTCAAGTAGCTGAAACCACAGGCATGCACCATCATGCCTGGCTAATTTTTTTGATTTCTTATTGAGACAAGGTCTTGCTAAGTAACTGAAACCACAGGCATGCACCATCATGCCTGGCTAATTTTTTTGATTTCTTATTGAGACAGGGTCTCACCAAGTAGTCTCGCCAAGTAGTCCAGTCTGGTCTCTAACCCATGAACTCAGTTAATTCTCTCACGTCTGCCTCTCAAAGTGCTGAGATTACAGGTGTGAGCTACCTCACCCAGGCTTATACCCCTTTTCTCCTAGGCTGTTGCAAGAACCACCTAATTGGTTCTCTTGCCTCAGTCTCACCACTTCCCATTCATTGTTCAGCTACTCCCTGGGTTAACTTTCCAAAACTTTGATTTCATCACATCACTCCTGTGCTTAAAATCTGCCAAGAACTTCCCATTATCTACACAGAGTAAAGACCAAACTCCTTCGCACAGTAGTGTCCAGGATTCTCCATGACCTGGTCCCTGATTACCTCTTCATCTTTAGCCTTCACCCTGCCCTGCTCCCCGCTGCTTAATTTCCACTCACATCCTGCAACTTGTGGGTCCTCAAGCATACTCTTTCTTTTTTTTTTTGAGTTGGAGTCTCACTCTGTCACCCAGACTGAAATGCAGTGGCACGCTCCCAGCCACCGCAGCCTCAACCTCTGGGCTCTGGCGATCCTTCCTCCTCAGCCTTCCAATCCTTCTTCCTCAGCCTTCCAAGTAGCCGGAACTACAGGCGCACACTACCACGCCTGGCTAGTTTTTGATTTATTGTAGAGATGAGGTCTCACCAAGTTGCCCAGGCAGGTCTCAAACCCACGGGCTCAGGCAATCCACTCACCTTGGCCTCCCTAAGTGCTGGGATTACAGACTGAGCCACTGAGCCCGGCCAAGGATACTCTTTCATATCTCTGCCTAGAGCGCTTTTCCTGCATGCTAAATAATTGAGAACAGCTCCTCATTTTTAAAAACTCAGATCAAAATAGCTCCACCACCCTCGTAGAAGTGGCCATACTTTCCTTTGTATTTCACTGAATCTTGCACATGTTTTTGTTCTGGATCAACACTTGTATTGTGGCTCACATTTGTTTATCTATATCCTTTCCAACTAGACCATGACCATAGATACATCTTGCCTATATTTGCATCCTTAAGACTTTTTCTGGCACATGGTTGATGCTTAATAATGTTTGTGGAAAAAAGAAGGGAAAGAGGGAGTAAGGAAATATCTAGCATTGACGTATCTTTTTTTTTTTCTAAGTTGGAGATTCACTCTGTCACCCGGCATGGAGTGCAGTGGCATGATCACAGCTCACCACAGTCTCTTCCTCCTGGGTTCAGGTGATCCTTCTGCCTTAGCCTCCCAAGTAGCTGGGACTACAGGCATGTACCACCATGCCTGGATAAATTTTTGATTTTTTTTTGTAAAAGACAAGGTCTCGCTATATTGCCTAGGTTGGTCTCGAACTCTTGGGCTCAAACAAGTCTCTCACCTAGGTCTTCCAAAGTGCTAGGATTACAGGTGTGAGACAACATAACTGGTGACTTATCTTTAAAGAGAAGAATATAAGGTTTGGAAACTGTGTAAATAAAATGTAAGTATCTAATTGTATTCAACATACTTTGTCCTTATTTTTATAGGGTTAGAACTTCAGGAGAGAATCCTTTCTATTGTGTAGGTAAGTAGTTATTTTCTGATGAAGAATGCCTGCTCTCTAGCACTCTATACTCTCTAGCGCTCTATACTAATTTTGTCTAGAAGGGTACCTAACATATCTTCAAAAAGAGTGGTCCAGACCAAATCCCATCCCTCACATGAAGCAGAACTATGGGTGAGAACACAAAGTAGTGGTTAAGAGCATGGACTCTGTGGTAAGTTTGGATTTCAACTCTGCCACATACTTATTCTGTGATCTTTAGCTATTTTTCTATAGCTTTGTTTCCTCACATTAAAAATTGGGGATAAGCCGGGCTTGGTGGCTCAGCCTGTAATCCCAGTGCTTTGGGAGGCTGAGGTGAGTGGACTGCCTGAGCCCGCGGGTTCGAGACCTGCCTGGGCAACTTGGCGAGACCTCATCTCTACAATAAGTCAAAAATTAGCTGGGCATGGTAGCGCGCGCCTGTAGTTTCAGCTACTTGGAAGGTTGAGGCGAAAGGATCGCTGGAGCCCAGCAGGTCGAGGCTGCGGTGGCCGGGAGCGGCCACTGCACTTCACTCTGGGTGACAGAGTGAGACTCCAACTCAAAAAAATAAAAATAAATAAAAATTGGGAATAAATATACAAACTGCAGTGAACTATTTGAAGATTCAATGAGATAAAACACATAAAGTGTTTAGAAAAGTTATTATCATTAATACTGCTACTATTCAGATCTGTTTTTTATATCCATCATCAGACTAGGACTTTTCTTAAATTATTTTATCCTTCTCTTTCCACCATCTTTCCGTGCCACCATCATGGTGCACATGAATGTTCTGGCTGATGCTCTTAAGAGCATCAACAATGCTGAAAAGAGAGGCAAACGCCAGGTTCTTATCAGGCCATGCTCCAAAGTCATCTGGTTTATTTTATTTTATTTTAATTTATTTTAAAGATGTGGGGTAAAATTCAACATTAGGTATACAAGTGGTCATCATACAGGTAAAGTTTGGGCCTTCCCCTGGTTTGAGATTGGGTACCCCTATTGATGTTGTGTCCCCCCCTACCACCTCCACCCCAGTAGTATCCCACTACTGCCAATCCCTTTCTTAAAGTATTATGGTAATTGTTCAGGGTCTGCTTATGATTGAGAACATGTGGTACTCTGTTCTTTGTTTCTGTGATAGATCACTGAGCATGATAAACTCCAAATCCATCCAAGTTGCTGCGAAGTTCATATGTTTGTTCTTCTTTGTGGTTGCATACTATTCCATTATTTATACTTACCACAGATTTTTAATTCAGTTTAGTTTCAATGGGCAGCAAGGTTGGTTTCATGTTTTTGCTCTTGTGAATAGTGCTGCAATAAACATGTGTGTATAGGTATCTTTCTTGTAGAATGATTTGAGTTCCTCTGGGTATACTCCCTGTAGGGGGATTGCTGGGTCATATGGAAGGTCAATTTCTAGTTCTTTCAGAAATCACCATACTGTTTTCCAGAGAGGTTTGCATTCCCACCAGCAGTGTAGTAGTGTCTCCTTTTTCTCTGCGTCCTTTGTCGTCTGGTTTCTAGCAGTGATGATGAAGCATGGTTACATTGGTCAATTTGAAATCACTGTGATCACAGAGCTGGAAAAATTGTTGTGAACGTCACAGGCAGGTTGAACAAATGTGGCGTGATCAGCCCCAGATTTGATGTACAGCTCAAAGATCTAGAAAGTAGCAGAATAATATACTTCCATCCTGCCAGTTTGGTTTCATTGTACTGATAACCTCAACTGGTATCATGGACCATGAAGAGGCAGGAAGGAAACATATAGGAGGGAGAATCTGGGATTCTTTTTCTAGGGATGCAATGCATATGTACAAATAAAATGCCTCAGTGGACTCTGGCACTTCCACCTGGCCGTGTTGAACCTTCAAAGCCGTGCATAGCAAGAGTGTCTGTGACAGTGTACAGCTGTTGCCTTCCTTGGTGAATGCTATTCCCTGAAGTGAACAAGGTTTGGGAAAATGTTGTGATTACTTCTTCACAGAGGAAATTCTGGGGTGTGGGGGAGGCATGTAAAAGGGGAGAAGTTCTCATGAAAGTAATACATGCATTACAAAAGTCATCCTGCTCTATACCAAAACCCGTTTTTTTTTTGAGACAGGGCCTTGCTTTGTTGCAATCATAGCTCACCACAGCCTCAAACTCCTGGGTTCAAGTGATCCTCCTACCTCAGCCTCCTATGTAGCCGGAACTAGAGGTGTACACCACCATGACCAACTAAATTTTTTTTGTTCTTTTGTATATATGGTGTCTCACTATGTTGTTGCCCAAGCTTGTCTCCTCGGTTCAAGTAATCCTCCCATCTCAACTTCTCAAAGCCAGGGGACCCAACCCATTTTAGTTACATTTTAGTATTTTCTGTTTTCAGTGAGTTTATTTTTCCTAGTTCTATAGGTAGCATTTTAGATCCTGCTGCTTATATCGCTGGTCATTAGAATAAACACTTGGAAAAGAGGGTCAAATGCTTGCCAACATGGTAGGAGCTGTTCACTGAAGAGATGGGGCGTGCTGACCTGGAGCTTGGACATGTTCCCTAGTCTGCTCTACCTGTGACCAGCCTGGTGATATGTAAGAAGGGAGAGAACCCCCTTGACTGGGGTGTGTGTCAGCTTCCTGAAAGGAAGGCCTCCTGTAAGATGTGGAGAATAGGCATGCTAGAGATGCCCTAGAGATGGGGCAGATAACAGCTTCCATCTGTTAGAAGATAGGAGTTGAGTGTTATGTCTGGTTGGAGGCCAGTAGTATTTGGGAGACTGTGAGTAATTAATGTGGGTTTGGGGGTCCAACACCAGAAATGCCTGCTCTTCTACTCAGTTTTCTTATCTGCAATGGGAATACTGTGGAGGGAAAATTGAAGATGTAAAGTACACTTACTAAGCACATGACAGTTGAAGTGGGAGTTGAGACAAATCTTCACAGAACTGGTTCTCTTAATGCCAAGGTCAAGGGTGACAAGACCACATTTGTTTAATGTTATCGATCTGCAGTGCCTAGCACAAAGGAATGCTTAAATAAAGACATGTTGACTGACTTAAAAAAATTTACTTTATCCCAAATGAATGCCTATTTAATCTGATTAACTCATTGAATGTCGTTCTCTGTTTTAACCCCATTTTTGCTTTGTCTATTATGTGACATTTCAAAGCAATTGTTGGGTTTTTTTCTTCTTTTTTTTGAGTTGGAGTCTCACTCTGTTACCTAGGCTGGAGTGCAGTGGCATGCTCACGACTACTGCGGCCTCGACCTGCTAGGTTCAGGTGATCCTTCCGCCTCAGCTTTCCAAGTAGCTGGAACTACAGGCATGTGCCACCATGCTCTGCTAATTTTTTGATTTATTGTAGAGGGAGGTCTCGCCAGGTTGCTCAGGCTGGTCTCAAACCCGTGGGCTCTGGCAGTCCTCTTACCTGGTCTCCCAAAGTGCTGGGATTATAGGTGTGAGCCACTGTGCCTGGTCTAATTGTTGGATTTTAAAGACACTTGTCATGTAGTCAAAGACTATCAGTGATACAAAAATGAGAGAGTAAGGACAGGAACTAACATTTATGCAAGCCTACTACATACAAGGAAGTATGTAAGAGACTTTACATATATTAATTATTTTAGTGGATGGCAGCAATGTGTACGAAATTGCCATTTCTACTGGGTTCAAAGCTCAGCATCTCAAGATATGGACTTTTTTTTTTTTTTTGAGTTGTAGTCTCACTCTGTCGCCCAGACTGGAGTGCAGTGGCCACTCCCGGTCACTGCAGCCTCGACCTGCTGGTCTCCAGCGATCCTTCCGCCTCAGCCTTCTGAGTAGCCGGAATTACAGGCACGCCCTACCACGCCCGGCTAATTTTTTGATTTTATTGTAGAGATGAGGTCTCGCCTGCCCAGGCAGGTCTCGAACCCGCGGGCTCAGGCAATCCACTCACTTCAGCCTCCCAAAGGCGCGGGATTACAGGCTGAGCCACCGAGCCCGGCTTTGGACTTTTAATTTAATCATTCTCTTAACAAACATGCAGTGGCTTATGCCTGTAATCCCAGCACTTAGGGAAAAGTTCACTTAAGGCCAGGAGTTTGAGACTGGCTTAGACAACATAGAAAGACTTCATTGCCACAAAAATTTTTTTAAATTAGCCAGGTATGTGGGTGTTCCCCTGTAGTCCCAGATACTTGGGAGGCTGAGGTAGGAAGATCTCTCAAGCCTAGGAGTTTGACATTACAGTGAGCTATGAATGTCCTATGGCAGTCCAACCTGAGCAACAGAATGAGACTCTATCTCTAAACAAACAAACAAAGTAATGTATTGTACCAGGTTGTGTGTTAGATGCCAGGGATACAAAATTAGGAGGATATAGTCCTTGTCATTTAGAAGCTTAGTCTTATAAGAAATACTTTTCCCCCAAGAATAATACTGTGAACATTTCTATATCCACCGTTTAGATTTAACATTTGTTAACATTTTGTCATGTTAGCTTTATCAGATGTCATGATACTGTACCCTAAATAAATACTTCAGCATGTGTTTCTAGAAATAAGGATATAATCTCTACATTCTGTTAAAGAAATACAATGTTTTTTTAGTTGGAGTTTCACTCTGTTGCCCAGGCTAGAGTTCAGTGGCACAGTCATGACCACTGCAGCCTCAACCTGCTGGGCTCAGGTGATCCTTCCACTTCAGGAAGTAGCTGAACCACAAATGTACACCACTATGACCAACTACTTTTAATAAATTTATCCTAGAGATGAAATCTCACTGTGTTGCTCAGGCTGGTCTCAAACTTCTGGGCTCAGGCAATCCTCTTGCCTCCGTCTCCCAAAGTGCTTGGATTACAGGCGTGAGCCACTGCACCTGGCCAAAAAACACAATCTTTTTATCTCACTCAACATCTCTACAATAAATTAAAAAATGAGCCGGGTGTGGTAGCCCACACCTGTAGCTCCAGCTACTTGGAAGTCTGAGGTAGAAGGATCGCCAGAGCCCAGCAGGTTGAGGCTGCGATGGC